CTCCCTACCCCCTGCTGTCCCTCCCCTAGTCACCCCCCACAGACCTCAGTGTGTGATGCTCCCCTCCCTGTGTCCATGTGTTCTCATTGTTCAACACCCACCTGTGAGTGAGAACATGTAGTGTTTGATTTTCTGTTCTTGTGTCAGTTTGCTGAGAATAATGGTTTCCAGATTCATCCATGTCCCTACAAAGAACACAAACTCATCGTTTTTTATGGCTGCATATTATTCCATGGTGTATATGTGCCACATTTTCCTTTTCCAGTCTATCATCAGTGGGCATTTGGATTGGTTCCAGGTCTTTGCTATTGTAAATAGTGCCGCAATGAATATACATGTGCATGTGTCTTTATAATAGAATGATTTATAATCCTTTGGATATATACTCAGTAATGGGATTGCTGGGTCAAATGGAATTTCCATTTCTAGATCCTTCTTTATGTGTCATATATTCCAGAGTTGGACCTAAGAAACTGACAACCTCAAAGAAATAATAGCCGAAAATTTCTCAAATTTTGCAAGAGGCATAGCCTATAGATTTAAGAAGCAAACAGGAAAAACACTATGAAATCATACTATAAAACATCATAGTCAAAATTCTATAAGCAAAGACAAACAAGTCCTAAAAGTAGTGAGATAGAAACAAAAGCTTATATATATTAAAATATAATAAATCAGGGACAGTAGATTTCTCATCAAAAACTATGAAGACCAGAAGGAAGTGGCACATTTTTTTCAAAAGAAAGAAAGAAAACAAGTATCAATCAAGAATAATATACGCAGAGAAAATATCCTTCAGCAATAAAGGAGAACTCAAAATATTCTCAGATGAAGTAAAACTAAGAGAATTTGTCTTCAGCAGACCTACCCTAAAAGAATGGATAAAGAGGCCAGGTGCGGTAGCTCATGCCTATAATCCCAGCACTTTGGGAGGCTGAGGCAGACAGATCATGAGGTCAGGAGATCAAGACCATCCTGGCCAACATGGTGAAACCCCATCTCTCTAAAAATACAAAAAATTAGCTGGGTGTGTTCATGGATGCCTGTAATCCCATCTACTCAGGAGGCTGAGGCAGGGGAATCACTTGAACCAGAGAGTCAGAGGTTGCAGTGAGCCAAGATTGTACCTCTGCACTCCAGCCTGGGTGA